TTCTGTGATTCTGTGAAGTGCTGATTCTTATTGTTTGCATAAACTTTTGACCGTTTATATAACCTTTAGGGTTCTTTCTGTCTGATGACAAATAACTAACTTTGACCCCCAAACTCAACCCATGTTCCTTGGGTTAACTATTTACAAACAGATACGTGGATAAAAATTCCCAAATGCTAGCTTTAACTCTGATTGCTTTTTCTACAAGCCAGAGAAGCTTAACTTTCTCTTTTATACCATACCATAGAAAAACTATTTTTTAACATTGTGACTTTAATATCAATTGTCATCCTTTTCTTTGAATGCAATGATAAAGAGCAGTTAGGTCTCATCAAACAGTTGCTTCAACTGAAAAAAATAATGTTGGTTTCAGCAGCAGTATTGCAAAGACCTCTAGGCATATGAAAGGAATTTCCGTGAAGTATAAGGAAGTAGCAGTTGCTGGAGACAGTGATGTGATCTGCCTAGGTAAAAGCTACATTTTCCCTTCTGTTCTATAACAACAGATGAAACTGATGTTATCATTAGAATGGACACATGATTATTTGAGACCCTCTGTAAAAGAAAAGGTGAACAAAAGAGAAATCATCTGACAAGCACACAGTGCTTTTCGTGTTCACGTTACCTAGACCCATTTTTTGTTTTCTGTAAGTAGATGTGCAATTTTTGGACATTTTGATTACGTAAAATTACAGTTTTTCATACCTTTACTGATGGGGTTCTGTCTTTCAGGAAAATAAAAATTCATGCCTATGACCTCAAAAGGCCTAAAAAATGCTGTAACAAACCCCCACTGAATATTGCAGGACTTTCATCTGAGTTCTAACCTCAGCGAATTCGAGGAATGTCTCAAAAATAAACCAGAATCACAGTCTATCTCCTGATCACAGTACTAAAGCAAAATCAATATGGATTGACCCTGGTGGTCTAGCGACTAGGATCGGACGCTTTCACCACCGTGGCCTGCATTCTATTCACAGTCAGGGAACAAAGTTTATGAGAAAGGGAAGAAAATAATCCAAATTTTTCTGGAAGCTGGTTTTGCCATGAAACAGAGTAAGGTCAAGGGACCTGCACAAGAGATTCAGTTCTTAGGAGTGAAATGGCAAGATAGATGTCATCATATCCCAATGGATGTGATCAACAAAATAACAGCCATGTCTCCACCAGCTAACAAAAAAGAGACACAAGCCTTCTTAGGCACTGTAGATTTTTGGAAAATGCATGATCCAAATTACAGTTTAATGTAAGCTATTTGTCCAGTCTTTAAAATTTGTTACTTGCCAATTGATCCAATCAGTTTTCCTTCCATAACAGGAACTGGACAAGATTTCTTAGCATTGCATAATCGTGATTCAGGGAAATTCTCACCAGCTTCTGGATAAAATAAAAATATCTTATGTTCAAAACATTAAATTACCTATCAGCTACATATGCAGAAATAGGTAGCTGGCTGTAGCCTTCAGAAAATATCAGGCTGAAAAAGACCCTCAGTGGTCTTTGATTCAAACCCTCATAAAAATCACAGCCAGCTTCTGAGCTGGATGAATCTGCTCAGAGCTTTTTCCAGTCAATATATGCAAGGGTGAAGGCTCCACAGCCTCTCTGGGCAATGTGGTCCAGTGCTTACCCACCCTCCCTGTGAAAAATTACTTTCCTCATATCCACAATTTCTGAACAAAATCTCATTTGCATACTCAGCTTCAGATCAGCTAAAGCTACTGAACCACTACATAAAATCTTCTTGCACGTGCTATACACATATCACTATCTTATCCTATAAGTCTTTGCAGGTCAACAGAGGAGTAAGGATGCAGTTTTCTGGAGGTCATTGATATTCACAGTGCAGTTATTGTGACTCTTGACTTTTGGCTATTGAAGACGCTGCATGATTTGCAGCAGCTGAGAACCTGCTTCATTTTCCCTCTCCAGGCACCTTCTTTGCTGAAGGAGACTAAGTGGTTGGTAGACACTATAGTTTCAAATTTCTGAATATTGTCAAAGGCATTAATGTTTTTTTAAAAGTTACAATTCAGCAAATTCATGAAATCATTTAACACAGAACAGTCATAATTGTATTCAAAGTTTACCACATAGTTCTACATATCTGAATGATCAGAAAGGAAATATTTTCTCCCTTGTGCATTACTAAAGTCATAGACTCATAGGATCATAGAATCCTTATGGCTGAAAAAGACCTTTAAGATCATCAAGTCCAACCATTATCTAACTCTACCATGCCCACTTCTAAACCATGTCCCTGAGCACTGTATCAGAGAACAACACAATGAAGCTTACGTTTAGTTAAAAATAAAACACATTCATTCTTCCCTGTATACAGCAAGAGCTCTGTGCTTGATTATGTCATTAAAAATAGTCTTAAAAGTCAGTCATTTGTCTGCATCTGGCATGAGGTCATAGATTTTTAAAAGAGATGATAAAAAATTTTATAGTTGTCATTTCTTAAAGACAGACTTCCTATTTTCAGAAGGAGTATGGGATCAAATACACTTGGGTCACATAATCCTCATTTATGACAAAACTGATCAGAAATAAAACACATACAAAAGGAGAATACAAAAATTAAACCCATCAATTAATTACAAACATATAGATTAGGATAAACTTTTCATCAAATTCAGTAATTGAAGAGTACAAACATGATATAACAATATACAAATACTTTTAAACAGATCCTTTTTATCTGAAGCATAGCTAACATTCTAATACTTCTGATTTGAATACCATTCAATTAAACTGCAAATTTTCTTTAGTGTTACAAATGAAATTATTTGGTAGTTTCCACCAGTTTTCCAGTGGGCAAATGTGTGTCTTAGAAACCATTGCCAGCACAAGTAGCTCTTCCTAGTACCCTCAGCAGAGACAGAGAATGCAACCATAGGTTATTGACTGGTTTGAAAGGAGAGGAGACAAGGGACCCTTAAGGACCCCTGTTACTCCCAGCACCATGTGTTCCCCAAGCAACTGTGCTCTTTTCTGCCTTGTGGACCCTATTATTTAGGGAGCAGGAAAGGCGCCGGAGCACTAATATGGGAAAAAAATTGATACCAATGCTATACAAGCAATGTGGGAAATACCAGGTGTTAGGTAAGGGCTGACTTACCAGTTTGTCTAACCTGGTGAAGCCTTAGCCCCCATTTACAGTAGCGTTATGTGAGTCCCACTAGAAACTATATCTAAGTGAAATAATACAAAAAACCATAGTCATAGACATACTTCTTTTTTCATAAAGAACTGCATTCGTTCTTCTGAATATCACTGCTGTTTTGGTGTTCTCAGCCAATGTTAAACATTGTTGGTCTTTACTGGTGAATAAGAAGGCCCTGTAGAAATTAAGAAGAGAGCAACATAAGAAATAATAGATGAATGTGTGCATTATCTTCCTAAATATCTTTTCTAGTATTCAGTTATAGTTTTAGTAAACACTGTACTTCGGCAATATTTAAGACTGAGTAATATTTCACAGATCTCAGTATTGCGGCTCCTATTTTCAGTAGTGAATTTGACTCCTAAGTCTTCATACCTAATTTAGATTGAAAGGGAGCTACATGAACAAATTATGGCAAAATATATAGAAGAAGGTTTATAATGTGCCAGAGATTCCAGAGAACATGCTGAAGAGGACTTATGCACAAGGCACCTTGATCTTATTTCAAAAAAACTAATGGTCAGTCAAGAAGCAAGACATTCTACAGTATTCAGTAGTTACTAAGGAAGAGGTAAAACACAACAAGCCAGGATCTTAAATTACCTTGTGATAACTGTTAGGAGTCATTGTATGTGAACCAATGTAAGCACTTTGGAAGACACAGACAATTGTCTTTTCGGCACATACCTTGTCTGTAGGTCTGCAAAACTGGAGTGAATGTTGTAACCTTTACAATAGCATCTAAGAAAAACTCCCAACAGGCTAAATAGTTTCTATAGCTAGCTTTTCTGAACCAAAAATGAGCAATAGCAACATAGCATTCAGTGGGTAGGTCTATACCAGGAACGTAAATACTGAGAAAGCCCATTCGGTAGCCCTAATACTGACTGGCATGATCCCAACCTCTCCCCAGAAGAGAGGGATCACATCTGGACTCACTGCTGGGAGCAGTGTCTGTGCATTTTCTGGGGAGTGCTGGTTGCCTTGGGTCAAACCTACACTGGGGACTGTTCCCCCAAGTCCAAGCCCAGCTCTCAGTAATGTTAAATTTACACGTCGGGATGTAGTGAATGAGTATGGTACAACACACTGCTCAGGTGGGATAACAAGTCTGAAGTACTGATCTGAACTCATTGATCTGAAGCCCAGTTGTGATGTTGCTGAAGTGCTGGATTGGACTTAAAGCTCTGCCTAACAGCTGCCTTTCTTGTCCTAGATCCTTCCGTGTCAAATAATATCTGTTCTCACATAACTGATTAGGAGGTCAAGGACAAAACAACCCTGATCTTATTTCACTGTCAGGTGGTGGTAGGCTTAGACTTGAGCAGAGGCTAAGGAATTATATTGCATCTCAATATGCCTCGAAAGAGAACAATAACCCTCTGCAAACTGTAAATATATAATTTGAACATACAGACCTGCCCTCTCTACCTTCCTTTTTACCCTCCAGGGACAAGTACTGCTGAAGATCTGCCCTCTCTATGTGTTTTTCAGAGAGGGGAGTAAGATCAAAGGGAGCAGGTGGAGCTCCACACTCTCAGTCAGAAAACCCCTGTCATCCTTCAGTGTTATATCTCTTTAAAATAAGCCTGATTTTCCCTTTTGATTTAAAACATACAGTTATAAAACACATTTAAAAGTCAGCACTAGGCTATCCTTGAATGAAAGCCTGATGGAGAGCCAAGTGCTAGAAACAGCCCCGCAGTCAATCTACTGAGTTCAAACAGGTATGCTGCAGAAGTGGTAGATCAAGAAATCATGGAGATTAGAAGAGCAAACCTCCTTGTCTCGTATGAAAGGACTGCCTCCCACCACAGTAACAGATATCTCTCCTCAGTACTTCAGTTGTTGCAGTACTGCTGAAGCTCAATGGGCTTTGAAGCTTTGGCACAGGAGGCTCAGAAGATGTAGGCTCAAAGCAATGGGCTCCCCTGAGTTTGTACCTCTGCACCTGTGGTACAAACTGGTCAACATCTTTCATGCTTTCTAGCCACTTGGGCATGGTTAAATGCAAGTGCATAGAGAGGGCTTGGCTGGAAGTAGGGGTTACGAACATTAAGGTTTAGATAGACATTCTCTTTCTCAAAGTAAATAGAAATCATATAAGCCCAAATTCTAGTAAAATATGGAATAATGGATGTACCTGCAAGATAATGGGTAGTGCAATGAACACAAGCAATACCATTATTGATGTCCCAAGTTTCCAAACAATTAATTAAAAATTTTATTTCAAAAGGAGTGCAAGAGTCTTGATAAAACCATGCCAAGTTGGTTTTCCATATGCCAAGCTGTGCATCATAATGTTTTCCAATAAAATTTCAACATAATTTTCTTAATTTCTCTATTTGCACTGTCTTCATCCATGTGTCCCAGGCATTCTGTTTCTATACATCTTTTTTTTCTCCAGCAAACCTCAGACACATATACACCTAAGAAATCCCTCAAAAATTCAGACTTCTGATAAATAAGGCAGGCTGCTTCATCAGCTATAATGAAAAATATATATGGGAATTGATGGAAATTACCTGCAAGTAAATTTATTTTCATTTTCACATAGCTCCGCACATTCTTCATTACTATTTGCTTTATAAATTTGCTTCTTTGGGTTGAGCAGCCAAGCTCCTTCTGTTCTCACATAGCTGTCTAGTATGTTTCCTTGCACTAAAAGGAAAATGAGACAAGGAGGTAAAAATATGAATACAAATATGATTTATTTCAAACTTCCATGTTAAATTATTTGTCACCTAATTGAGTAACATCATCATTTACTTGCTGGAATAACTGGGTTAATGATGCCAAAATATGGGTAAATCTTGCCTTCCTATTATGGGAAATAGTAGCAGCACTGAAAACCTCATGTAAAGCAGGAAAGAGAAGTGGCTTTAACAGTTCTTTATATTATTCTGGAATAATAAGTAGCACAAACCTAGGGTATAAAGTGATGGAGAGAAGATGACTCAAGGAGCGAAAAAGTGAAGTGTTTCAGAAAGAAAATACTGGTCTCCCATACTTTGGAGGAAGTGAAGAAATGGGACTTGAGAAGGATGTGAAACAGTAACTATCCATTGCTGAGACCTACCCACATGGAATGACTTCAGCTTTTTCAGCCACCCTATAGCTGCCTCGTTTCAGATGCTCCTACTCTTGCAAGAAATGAGCTATCCTCAGTCACTGGAATTATCATTGTGCTCATGTTCAGTTTAATAATTTTTGTCATAACTCTGTATTTAACTTAATAACCAAGATAGCAGTTGTTGCCCTCCATTGCAGTGAATTAACATAAGACATTCACCTGGTAAACAAATTCACTTAACAACCTCTGAGCTAAAGTTCCATCTGAAATATATAAGATGCTAAAAAGTAAAGCTATGTTTAGTGGTAAAATCCAAAAATGATCAAGTACAATCCTTGTAATGGACCTTGCAGTTTAGTATTTTCTTTTTCTGTTAGAGCTATACAACCTCTGAATGCTTAGCTAGAGCTCACAAAACTGTGACTTTTATGACTTCCAGCTGCAGGGTCACAGAGTTGCATGAGTCCTGTGATTTTTACAGTTTCTTTATCAGATGAGCATATGACTCTACTGACAAATGTTTGGCTTTGGGAATTACCTGTTCTGTGTGGTTTCAACCTTAGACAGCTGGCTCATGGTCTTTGTAACGTATCTCAGTCCTGCTCTGTGCCTTGTTTTTGTGCCTTGCTTTACGCAATTGCTGTAATTACATACATTTACATCTTTTTTCCAACCCTTCTCTTTCTTAGCCATAGCTCAATGGCAGCAGGAGGGACAGAAAGCAGCCTCGCCCCACTTAGACTCACAGCCTGTACTGGGGGGCTCCATGGGGATGTGCAGTGAAACATCTTTCAGTCTGAGAAAGTCAACTACTCCTCCCTTGTCTGAGTAACACTCTTTTGTAGGAAGAAGCAGGCTCTTTTGCCCTCTGGTACAGTCAAATAATCAAAGGGCTGGAGCACCTCTCCTACAAAGATAGGCTGAGAGAGTTGGGGTTGTTCAGCCTGGAGAAGAGAAAGTTCCGGGGGGACCTTATAGCGACTTTCCAATACCTGAAAGGTGCCTATAACAAATCTGAGGAAGAACTCTTCACTAGAGCATGTAGTGATAGGACGAGTGGCAATGGTTTTAAACTACAAAAGGGCAGATTTAGGTTGGGTATTAGGAAAAAGTTCTTCAACATGAGGGTGGTAGATCACTGGAACAGGTTGCCCAGAGAGGTGGTGGAGACCCCATCCCTGGAGATATTCAAGGTCAGGCTTGATGGGGCTCTGGTCAACCTGATCTAGTAACATTGTCCCAGGTCACTGCAAGGGTTGGAATAGATGATGTTCAGAGGTCTCTTCCAACCCAACACATTCTATGATTCTATGAAATTCCTTCACCTGAGTGCTGTGTGCTTCCTTCAGTTTGCAGTTGAGAATTCTCTTAAAGATCATTTTACATCTACAAGACAGAACTGATAAAATAGGCACAAAAGCCAAATTATGCTTCCTTTCATACCACTGCAAACCCAGAGAAGTTACTGGAGGCTTTTTTCTGCATGTAGACTAATCCCTAAGGGTTGACTGTTTAACAGTATGCATGAAAAAAAAAAGTTAGTTGCTAAAAATCCCCCATAAAGTTAGAAAGAATACAATAAAATTTTATGTGACAGACACAGGAATCACTGATTCCACTAGTTATTTCAAAACAAAAATGACATTAAGAAGAAATTAGTTTTCAGAGAAAACATTAAACTAGGTTAAAGCAATATCATGGGAAAGCTGCAAATGCTTTCAATGAGGACAAGAAATAAAAGAAAACAAATTTTATTGTGGTACAGCTTCTATGCAATCCTAATTCTGTTTGTTTTGACACTTTGAAATAAAATTGCATTACAATCACAGCATTTGATTTTTAAAATATTGACTAGGTCATAATTAGTTTGTGTCATAAAAAATATTTTTTCCTCTTTCTGTTATAGTTACACAGCAGACCATAATACCTTGAGAAAAACAAGAAAAAAAGAAAATATATGGAAGCTGCACAAAAATGCAGTAAATTTTCTTGCCACCATTTTTCCTGTATCTACGGAATTTTTCAAAGTTAGAAAGATGTATTACTGCCTTATTCAGAAATGCAAATATTTACAGCAATTTGATAAAGGATTTGCAAACAAAAGAGAATATTGCAGACAAAAGCCCAAATCCTATATTCCACCCCTCCACCACCACATATGTAATTCTTCCTTATTTGAGAAGTGTGTTTGATTTGAATGAGGCTGTTCTGTACAAACAAAGCTTCAAAACTAGAATTTAAATTAGGATGATCATTCTCAACATTAAATACTACCTATAATTTGTCCTGTTTGGCATGTTTCTAGTATTTCCAGATGTTAAAATTGATCCATACATTTTTCTAATATTTGCCTTTTTTATATTTTACAACTACACATGTAAAATGGTTGTGTATTTAATTTTGTTTGTTTGTTTTAAAATGTGTTGACACTCTCATACTTTTAAATGCAATCACGATGAACTCTGTAGTTATACAGAAGACCTAAAAGAAGATAAGCCATCTGAATCCCATAGTTCATTGAAGGTTAAAGTTTTCAGGACAGAGAATACTTTTTTGAAATTTCTGTGACTTACTGTCTATTAAACCCAAAAAGATACATTTAAAGAGCCTTACTTCTTTCTTGTGTTTTACAAATTATTTTGTAATACCTTTCCCAAAACCAGTCCTGCAGTACTTAAAATACTGCAGAAACTATCACTGACCAGACTTTGACCTCCCTATCACTTGGAATGAAGACTGTGGCTATGAAAAAGACAGAAGCTTTAGTGTGTAGAACAATTTTTCCTTTTCTTTGTGATTCAGTTTTTCACAATGCATTTACAAATTTTAAAACAATCAAAATAAGGATAACAGTACTTGTCAATAACAGAGAAAATAAACAACTCTTGGATGAAAGGCTGCTGACACCAGAGACAGCCATGCCTTTGTAGAAAGCCTTTGATAGGCTGCTTTTCAAAGATGCCCCCATTTCTGGCCACGAGGCAGAGAGCCATTAGTTCCCCACACAAACACCAAGGCTCTTGCTCTTTTGGTGTCTCTAAGAAACACAACACTGGAGCCACCACAGCTCTCGCTTTGTTCAACAGCAACTCCCACTGGCCAACAAGACCCAGATCCATCGTCGTCCAGGCAAGTGGCGACACAGGGATCTGGGAACCTACATTCACCAAATAGAGCTTGCAAGCATTTGGCACCCATCTCACCGAGGGAGGCAGAAGGCAAAGGACTCTTACCTGAGCTGAGCAAGAAAAGAAAGAGAAAGGCAGCTTTGCAAATCCACATTTTGGCCCAGCTGGCGAGTGCTGGAAGTTGTGTGTGTTGGTGCACAAAGTTTTATTGACTCGCACTGGAGTGAGGCGGCATCAAACAAACAAGGCAGGCAGGTTCAGTTAATGATTCTCCCATCCTGTGACCCCCTTTGCTGTGGTGCGGCCATTCAAACAACCTTGAATTGGATGGATTACCAAATTTGGTAATTACCAGTCATTTGTACTGGATGCTAGGAAATGTGATGGTATTCTTTTGTTTGGCAGGGCATGTTTCTGTTTCACAAATAGTTAAGTCTTTCTTTGCTAGAGAATAGACAGGAATAATGTTGCTGGAAAGCATGGGAATCGTGTCCAGTCTGAATTTTAATTTCTACTGACACTAGAGTCCCAATGGTAATTTCAGCCATGCTCTATTGATTTATAAGGATCAACTTTCATTTAATCTCAAGGCAAGCACTATCATCAGATCCAGATAATATTAGCCCTGTAAAATAGTTTAAATTTACTTTTTTATTAAATAATTCCTTCTCTCCTATGCTTTATTGACCCAGGCTTTTCTTTTTTTTTCTTCTATTTGGGAGTAACATTTAGAGTTTATTTTAGCTCAGTAGCATAACTTTAGGTTTAAGACCCATAGACATTTAGTGTTCTTCCTTACCAGCCATTCAACTTCACACTGCATGCAAAAACTCATCCAGTGAGGGTGACAGACTTTGCTCATCCATGTGTTATCCTGATTTCAACATGAGCTCACCCTGCATTTCCCAAGTGGCCTTTGCCTTGGAAAAGTTGCACTGCAGCACCATTTCATAGCTTCTTTTGCATGTTAGGTCACTGGTGTTTCTTCAAAACAACTAGTTGAATCAAATGTGCTAGTGACTCACCAAAGGCAGGAGGGAAGTGAATGTTGGATGAGGAAAACAAGCTTGAATGAGCACTGCTGGGTCATGCAGTTCAGTTTTCTGCAATTGAAGGCAAAAAGTTTGTAGAATCATGACTTCCTTCAAAAAACTAGTGATGCTATCCATGTCCTTATTGTCCCGCGTACTTCAAGTAGAAATTGCATTGTACTGAAGGCTTGGGATAAAGCTAGAGGTGCAGAGAGGCATTCTAGTATGGGAACCAGATTAGCTGCTATTTTACAGATTATGTGAAAAACCTAGCTGATCCTGTTTGTAGTCCTGTGCTGTTTTCCTCCTGTAGGGTGTTGTAATACCATGTTGTCAGGTTGTCTTGTGTGTTTCTAGCTGTTTTTATGCAACTTGTGAACAATAGCAAAGTGTGGGATATCTGTAGAGAAGACCACTAATGCTAGGCCAGGGAAACAAAGCTGATAAGCCCAAGAGAGAAACTGATGGGAGTTAGACTCAGATCAGAGAAGCACTTGAAGGGTGACAGACAGATTGGATATTATGCAGTTGTGTGTGGGTTTGGACTTACTGGATTTTAGGAACATTTGGGAAAGAACTCATTGGGAAAGAAGGATATTAACCCCATTTTCAATTCTCACTCCAGATCCTGGTTCCCTCTCTCCTGCTCCACACTCCTTGATGTCCTGGCCACTGTCTTGTCCCCAGCAACCACCAGCATCTGCTTGCCAATCTCAATTCCCCCTTTCCATCTGGTATTATCATACAGTGGTTTTTTATTCCAATGCAAAATTTGTTTTCTGCACAGCCCTGCCCTCCTCAGCACTTCTGACACCTTCCTCATCCTTCTGTATCCTGATTTCTACTGAGACATTTGATGGGTTACTGTGTTGTGATACACATCGAGTGGTTAAAGTGTAAGAAAAAAATTACATATGTGGGTTATATGTGGCCGCTTCTCCTGTGTGGGGGAGGATTTGGAAAGCTTTGAGGTTTATTTGAGTTTGTAAAACTCTTCTATAAACAGGATGTTTTAGAGATGTTAATCAGATCAGCTTTTCCTGGTTTTCAAAACCAAAGGAGCTAATTGTGGTAGCCAAAGGTGTGTTAATATGTCACTGCGTCCAGGATAGTTTGTGAATATCTGCATGCATCATGTAAGCCAGCACTCTTTTGCAAGCATTCCTCATGTGAAATGTCCACATATACTCCTTCATTTCTATAGCGGTTTCCACTTTTAGGCTTGGGTCTGGTTCTTCTCTTGATCTCATTGCCTTGAACCTGATTGAAATGCATCTAATTCAGTGCAGCTGCTCCTGATTTATTCCTGAGGAAAGAAAATTTGAATTGCCATATCTTTCAAAGATGGCAACGCAAATTCAGAGACATATTATTATCTATTTCAGTCTTAATGACTGAATCCTGGAAATTTCCAGATCCTGGAAAACTGGACTTGAGGATATTGTCAGCAATTCATCCTGGTACAAAAATGCTTATTTGTAATGCTAATTTTCCACAGGAAAATCTCAAAACAGGAGAAGTGCCTTCCATCTGCCAGACTGGCATTCCTCATGACTTCTGTCCTGTGTCAAGGAAGAGACCTCTGAAGGCATCATGTCTGAAAGGAGCTGTTGTAAACTGTTGATTTATCTGTCTCCTTTTGTGCCTCTCCTTTTTTGCCTTTTCTCCTTTCTTCTTTTCCCTCATAGATCCAAGCATTGTCTAAATCTTTCCCCAGTTCTGATCTTGTCATGTTTGTTCTCATTTATTTGACTACTGTGAGGCCTCCCATAGGTGGAAGTTTATCAGATCTTCTTTCAGAGTCAGGGTACATTAGTTAGCACAGTGGTTAAAATATAAACAACAGCAGGAGGATTTTTAAATATGAGTTGACCCTTGAAATTGGGCTTACTGTAACCTCAGAAAAATCTGCAAAAGAAATTGCAAACAATGTCAGAACACAGGTCACACCTTCTTGAATAAATTCACATAAACATAATTTTCCTAAATTTCAGAATCAGAAAAAGTCAGAAAACAGCTACTTAAATATCATTTATTTGCTAAGAGGGTAAAGAACCAAAGACAAGATTCACTTGCTTGGGGGGGGGAAATCCCAAAAGGCAGCTCTAAGGAAAGAGCACAGCTGCAAGATCGAGGTAAGCTCACGTAAGAGCTCCAAAGGATAATGCTATGGGCATCCATAGGCAGACCCATGGGCAGCTGGAAAATATGGAAGGTACTTCTACAGCAAGAACAGTGACAAAGTGAGACTTGCACAGCCCTGATTCGCAGAGCCAGAGGACACTTTGGGCAGTGATCCAAGAGGGATAATGTGGATGGCTTCTAGAGACAGGAGCTGCTTTGGGTAAGGTGGGAAGGCATTCAGGAAGGAGAAAGGTAGCCAAGTTAAAAATAAATTCTGTCCTTGTCCTAGACGTGAAGGAAGACAAAGGACAGAAGACCTTGCGAATAAGCTCATCTCTGCAATTTCTGACCACAGAAGCTAATGCATTCAAGGAAAGGAAAGTTAAGCTAATAGAAAAGAGGCACAGAAAGGACGTTTTTTCCAGTAGTGGAAGTTTTAGACTTTGAGATGTTAATTTGTTCTGGCTGCTGCCAAAGATCAGAAACCAGTAGAATGAAGTCAGATATGAGAAGCAGAGACATTAGGAAGTGAGCAAACTAAGTTTCGTCTTTATAGTAGAAAGAGCTAAAGAATTAACTACTGGTGTTTCTGTTTTGCAGAAAAAGTATCTGAAAAAACAGGGACCCTGCAATTGCCTTTAACAGAGATGTGAAGAGCATTAATGCCACAGAGAATCTAACACCAGCCTTTACTGGACACGGTTAAGAGAAAATGCAGGCCTTTCCCTGCCTTAAAAGTAAGCACCTGAAGAGTGAGTTCAGCTGTAAATACTTAGAAGTAGTGCCTAGTTCAGCAGCAGTGGCATTTAGCACACAGTGTGCTAGAACTCTTTATTCATGGGGGACAACTTCATCAGCACTGTTAGGTAGGAGGGAAAAGCACTGTCCGTTACGTAGACAGAAAGCTTTGGAGAAAGTGTACCTAAGCTTTGAGTCCTGCCTGAGTGTCCTAGTATGTCATGCCCAGCAAAAGCACTGCTGTTTTCTTGGAAAAGTGGTTTTACCTTTTTTCCCCCCTTATTTATTTATTTATTTATTTATTCCTCCTAACTCTCATGTAAACTCCTGAGCTAAGGACAGGAAATTGCGCATTAGAAATCATGGAATATTTGCTGATTAGCTTTGTCATTTTCTCCTACTATATTTTAACTCAAAGTATACTTTTGAAACACATGCCTTTTACATATGCCATGTGTCCAAAAGTCTGTGGGACCTCATGTTCCAATTTTGCCAAAGAAAGTGCAGAAATATAAGTATCATCACAGCCAACAAAGTAGAAGGCAGATGAAAGTAGGGTGAAAACTTAAACAGATGATGCTGTGAGTAGCTGGAGTTATCTTCACAGCTTTTTTTCCAAACTTGTTTTCAAACTCTGTAACACCTTCCTTAGTTACAAACTGCCCATTAGTCTAGTAACATCTTGTATAAGGTAGCTTCTTAAAGAAAATGCATTTCTAGCACTCAGAAAGGTCTGAAGTGCTGCAGTAGTTGATAAGCTTAAGGTACAGGAAAACAAAAAATTCCAGTGGTACATTTGCAAGTGTGACAAGATAAGAAAATACAGTGCACCGAAGCAAACCCAAGAAGCACAGATGAAGAGGATGGTACTTGTGTGCCAAGGATGCAGGGTGCCACCTGGCGACAAGGTGCTGGTGGTGTTATCAGAATCAGGGTTCAATTTTCTAATTTCTCTGACAATGTATTGACACAGTCTTAGCAGTAATGAGTTGCACTGTAAATATATTAATAGATGTATTATTTATACATACTAAAAGACTGGAAAACACAAGACTTGCCAGAAGTAGTGTATCACTATGTGCCAAAACCAGGACAGATGACTGATGTTAAATCAAGCATTCCCATGCTGTAAGAGAACAGCTAAAACTGCATTTTCTCAGCTGGAGAAAATAATGCGGGATTTCCAGAATGTATTCTCATAATAGACAAAAAAACCCCAAGACACAAAATGACACCTAGAAAAGACTCAAATAACTGCAGAACCAAGCCAAAGAAGATTTAGAGAATACTGTAAAGTGAAGGCCAAAGAGAGTCTTTAATCTCTGAAAAATTCTGTAACAAGATAGACTGCTAAAGAATCACATGGATTTCTAGGAAAGAAACCTTATTTCCAAATGTTTCCAATAGTGACATGAAAACTGTCTTACTATTAGAATGTCCAGTGAGACCTACACTGATTTTCACCCCAAATCTAACCAAATAATATTGAGAGGTACTCTGAAGAGTGTCCGGGGAGAATGGCCTTTTTTTAAAACTTGAAATGAAGAACAGTAGCCTTTGGTTTACATGAAACAGCAGCAGCATTTCAGTGACAAATGTGCAGAGCTCCATGAGGAGTATCCAGCTGCACATATCTGTGCTACTGCACTCTGTGAATTAGAGGCAGACTGTACAAAACCTCTGCAGGCAACATTATTGTCTAGGTTGGCAGACCCCCAGCAGACACAGTTCAGCATCTACTAGCAAAAGACGGTAGCAAGTACCTGAAATTTCCATTAGGAAATGCCTACAGACACTCGGGAATGGCTTACAAGCACCAAGAGAAACAGGAACAACTTCTGGGGCTGGCCAGTTATGACAGAATATTTGTGCCAATGTTTTCTGAAGGAACAACACCACTGGCAGAACTTACAAAAGCAACATTACATGGGGAATAGAAAGTGAGTGCCAGAGGGCAGCAAGCTTTTCATGTGCTCCAGGAAACATTGCGCTCAATCGGTTCCGAAAGCATCCAAGTTTACTGAGCAGAAGCTTGGAGAGGGGGAGACACTATTCAGGGTCTGGAAGGAATCCAAGAAAAGGATGCTGTCAAGAAAGACTGGGTTAAAGAACAGCTATTCCAACAGTATCATGATGAGCAAAGGATGCTGCTGAGTGGGTCATAATGGAAATCATAAAGAACTGATAGAGAAGATCAAGGAAGGAGTAGGGAGTCCACAAATATATATTTTTTTTTAGCTCTGGCTTTTTAAAAAATCCCAAAATGGGTTTAGAGAGCTTGATCTCTGCAGAATTCTTGGTAGTAATAATAAAGCACATAAATACTAGATATAGATTTATAATATACTTTAAATTAGGCATACAACTGGAAGACTAAAATTATACAGAAGTCCTTGTTTAGATTACAAGTTCACAAGGCGGCATACATTTCTTCTGCTATTAGGTCAATATGTATACTCTTTGGAAGTGGTAAGTTTTCAAGTGGCACACAGAAAACTCGGAAAACTGCTGGAAATGCTGGAACTAGCTTTGGTAACTGACTTGGAGCCAATGGGATAGGTGGATTTCTGTTATTTCTGGTGCTGTGGGAACACATCCCACTCAGTAATTGCCTTTGGTCACTGCAGTACTGCTTGAAGAGCCTTTCTCTAACCCAGCCTTTCCTGACAGTTTCAATAGTAGTGCTTTTCCATTACTCTGAGTGGAAGCCAGGTCAGGTTTTGTGGCTCTGGGAGGCTTGAGTAACCTTGGGTGTCCTCTCTTTCTCCACCTGCCTGCCACAGAGCACACAGGAGCATGAGCCATCAAGCCTGATAAGGCAAGCACCAGTACCTTGGCACCCAGCTTCACTTACCCAACACTCTGAGACATCCTTGCCTCTTCTGGAAATAAACTGAAAGAGCAATTTATTTTAATTCCTGAATGGTATGTCAAGGCTGAATTGCTGGTGTCACAGCTGAGAGCAGGATTTCTGTGCAAGTGCCTCAAAAACATGTTAACTGTACCATATGTGGTCCAATTCACCACTTTGCCCATTGGAATGGATAGCTGTTTTTTCCATGCAGACATCTAAGCTAGGAAGATTAGATAATTACACAGTGCAGCATAAAGCTCTGTTTAGGTGGTGAGAGTTGGGGTAGAAGAAGAAGCAATCCCACCAGGCCTTCACCCAGCTCCTGGCAACACAGGCACAGTCTAACCTTTTCTTACCCCAGGCAGTGGTTGAGTTTGCTTGGGTACTTTCTTATTCCTGGAGCAGCAACAGAAAGAGGAGCAGATGCCAGGATGGATACAGGAATAGGCCTGATCTGAGACAAATTTTCTTGCACAAGGAATAGACAGAGATAGACCAGCTGCTAGCATGTACAGAGCAGAAAAGCAGGTGTCTGAACAAAGAGGAAGCCACTTTATGAGTTGGAACATGTCTCAAAACAGAGGGGTTAAGTAGCAACATTAGAGCTGCTGCCAAATGCAACATGGTTGTACCGATGTACAACACAGACACAGTTACAGACATTAATAATTGGTCAATGTGGCTATTGCTTTGCAGTAACTAGATACACTCAGCCAGTAAGAATTTTTATTAAAGATTCTTATTAATTTTTACAATTTTAAAACCATATTTGGAATGCTGTTCCTAAGACATAGTCTGCTTTCCAGAAAAGCTAGCCTGCATCCTGATTCAGTGGGCAAGCATTGCATTCTTGATCCAAGAAATGAAAGTAGGAATTCGAACAAAAACAGGCCTTGATGGCTGGGTGCAGTCCAGTCCCCAAGAGGTGATTCCATATTGGACAAATCTGTCCTTATCTTGGCAAACCAGAGGTCCTCCAACTTCAGCCTAGGGAGGAGAAGAGGGAATAAGGTGACTTCTTTAATGATGGAGACACTAGACATGCAAACAGCAAATTATTGGCAGAAATAATATTGTGATAGGTCTGAAGACCTCAAAATATGGCTGAGACAAGGGCTGTAGGGAGAAGGAGTGTTTTACTAGACTTGCTGGAGTAAAAAAATGGGGGCGAAACTTGTTTCCAAGCATCTAGGCCATTTCTGTGGTCTGAAGAAAAGAGAGACCCAACCACCAATCACAGATGTGGGAACAACCGCAAATCACTGTGAAGCCAATTACACAAAAAAAATAAGTTTCTCAATTTTCCACACCCTCTGACCTAATTGATCCTGGACAAAACGAATAGAATTGTTATAATGTTGTTTCTTTAAATCCAGGCATGGCAGGAGATAAATAACTTCGTCCAGTGATATGTGAGCCTATCAATGAATGCCCTGTACACACTTTCAAAGACATCATTTGTACCGGAAGACTTGAACACCTGCTCAGACAGACCAGCACTTGCTTTCTGATTCTGTCATCAAGTAGGCAGCAGCTTTTTATTGAAAATCTTGCAACACAATACCTTCCATTAATAAAATCACATTTTAAAAGTCTTTCATATACTCTTGAAAATTAGAAAACTGAAAGCATTTCAAGATTCATTTAATCAAGGGATTAAATAAAGATGTAGTACAACTCCAGGTTGTACCAGAAACAGTTCCTGGTTTCCCTCTTGTCTCTAGGAACAAAGGGAAGTCCAGGTAGTATATCACAGGTTTTATTTCAGGTGGGATGGGGTATTCACAACACTGTGCTACTATGAGTAGAATGTGTCAGCATGCAGTTCTGAACAGAGAGCAAAATTACCCTATGCCATTTCCCTGCTATTCTGGTTGGTTGTATGAGTGAAGAAAAAAATGTTATGTATACCTCAGTTCTTATGCTTCATGCAGAAGCCTTGAATTGCTGAAGCTATTTCTGAGCCTTGAAAGAAAGAAAATTGTAATCTGACCTGCTTATACTCAAAGCTAGATTATTCTTACCTCACAGTTACCTATGCTTCCAAAAGTAAATCCACCACAGAATTCATGATTTTTGACACTTCCATTCAGAAATTCAGGGAGGTTACATATTCTATTTTCAAGCACGGGGAATTCAACATCTTTTATCCTGTTGTCTGTCTTGGCACCTTTATGAGCAACCAAAAAAATGTAACAGTTATAAATGGTAGCCTGGTCATTGTGCTCCGGTGAAGCTTCAGTAATGAAAGGACTGGGATCCATCCCCAGCTCTACTACAGTCTCCCACTGCCTTGAAGGACCTTACTTAATCTTTCAACTTTTTTATACTTGGATCATACCTAACCTCAACAAGCAGAGGCTATTCTTCTTTGCAAAATGTCACAAAATAAATAAAAAGAGATGCTTAGCATTCTGAGCCATTGTGTTGGTTTGTGGACTTTCATCATGGTGCAGTAGCAATGGCTTGTTTCAGAGAGAAAAATGTTAGCCTAGATCTACTTCACATTAATTTTAACTCTTTTAAGCCTAAAGATAGTGTTTTCCAGACAAGGACGATTTTCCTGAAGCCAAGGCTGAATTTTCCCAAAACACGGTTTATTTAGATGTGGGCTTTGGCTCTTCTCCCTCTCCCCTGTTGATTTCATGAACCAGTTGCATGACATGGCAGGGTCCTCTTTCCCACTGCCTGAATGCAACAATGGTCTGTTGATTTTTGCATTACCAGAAGAAATCTTGCCTGTACCTTTTTTTTTTTTGCTGCTGTGATCACTAGAACATAGGAAGCAGCTGCCACCATGTGGTAAGAAAAGAAAAAAAAAAAAAAGGGCAGGTTAGAAAGGGAAAAAAGGTGAGAGGAAAGCCAGTAAATAGTGTCTATTGTGGAGGAAAGTGTTTCTTGATAATGCTGAGTTATGCTAATAGTAAAGTGATTATTCTTAAGCATTGTTTCCATAGCATCAATTTTGTAGCTAAATGGCAAAGGAAGGGGATAAAGGTACTGCAACATACGTGGAAGGTTTTTATGGTGAAACTCAGAGATAGGGACATGTACTGTTAATTTTTTTTTATTTTATTTTTTTTTTAATTCGGTGGATACACACACATAGAAGAACCCATTGCCTTTGTTTTACAGGTGGAGTACTAATAAGATACTTTCTGGCAAATAGGGTGGGAAAGGCATCCCTTATGTGTAGCTCAGCAAGGCCTGAAGCGTGTACAGGGAAGCTGGGCCTGAATGAGGACAGATACAGCATCACTACTGGAAGCTGCAGGGATGAGGAATCGCCTCCTCTGGCAGCAAAAGCAGGTCAAAGAGGGCTGGGTATTCTCAACCTCAGCACAGGTGGAGGGAGATGTGGGCAGCAGGAGACCACATAGGTTGGTTTTTAATGCTTGACTGAGCAAAATTCAGTTATGGGTTTAACTGACATTAAAAAACTTCAGCTTGAACTCATTTTACCCGTGCTCCAAAGATGGCTGGATCTGAGCAAGCTCTGACTCAAAGGCTTCATGGTTCCTGGGATGCCATCTTATCTCAGGGGACAAAAACAAGGGGGGAACAATTAAGCTCTGAGAGAAAGAAATAAAAGGAATAATGTTTCCTGGTGACCTCTGACTAAGTTAAATCTTAAGTAAAATGTGTTTTTCAGGTCCTGTGAGTATACATATTTTGGGATAGGATTTGAAAACCTGACTGTTTTCAACCACGCCGAATAGGCTTTACCTCTTGTTTTTCGCCAGGCAGTTAAAAAACATGCTGTGTTTCTTTCTACCATCAGGTTGGCTTCAGGCAAACAAACTGGTTTTACACGGTCTGTAATTGTTACAGGACTAGAAAACAAGCAAAGAATAATCTAAAAATTCTTAGAAAAATTACCATCACTTTATACAATCTTCATACTCAGAAGCCTCTGCATGGAAATGGTGTGGGGAAGGGTGGAGAATCTGATGTTGCCTTAAAACTGTATATATGATTGTAAGATTGTGCCTAGCCACTTAATGAAGAAAGAGGTTACTTACAGGAACTGGATATCTCTAGGATGTGCTTGTGGGCACAGTCACAGTGCGAGTGTGTTTGCAGCACAGTGTTAGAGTGCTGATCTCTGGTTACCCTTGTGGTGTGTGTGTGAACATGCACAATCCCTTGCAACCCTTGCAGGTTGTGTGAGTCTGACTTCTCTCAGATCCTCCCTGCCTCAGAGCTCCTGGATATTTTCAGGGACTTCACAGGAGGATACTCCAGACAAAACTCTGCTCTGGTTTACCTCTACCCTCCCTGTTTCAGTGGAGCTGCCACTTAGTGGGTGGCAATCCCTCCCATCCTAACTGCTCCTTGCCCTTATTATACTGTGTAAGAAGCTCTCATGGCTTCTGCCAGTTGGGGCATTCAGCCGGAGGAATGCTCAGGGTTTACCCTTGAACAGATGGCTAACACTCGAAGGGACTCTCACACTCTCTCATACCATCCCACAACCACCTCTGAGAGCTAACTCCAGGCTAAGCTGACTTCAGAGTAAAGGTGTTAGGGGTGGAAAACTTGGACTGAAATGGTACCTGTTCAATTTCAGCAAAGCAATGTCTGCTCCACTTGGTTCCTTTAGTATTTTCTGAACATTTCGGATTTGCAAGGATGGCTCTGCTGCATTGAGATTCTGTATCCCAAGATATGCCCGGTAGGAAGAAGGCTCTATTGACCTGGAAGAAATGACAGTGGCAAGGTTATACATCCATACTTGTAATCAGAAATGTTACTTTTAGAAATTTCAGTGATTTCCCTGAAGAATTACAATTAACAAGACACGCTGCTGCTTCTGACCATAGATGCCTGCCTTTATTTCCGGGGAGGAGGAAAATGTGGGGTTTTTTTAAGCAGTTTGATTTTTGTAATCGTGGAAAAATCCCATGGGCTGTAAATAATGTGGCACCTTCTTGCAATGTTTACAAGTCCTAAAACCATGAGAGTCAGATGCTAGCCACAGTTTTTCCAAGTGCAGTTACCATCACGAGAACCCTTTTTGGCACGATTTGTAGTGGGGGAGAGGACAGATGACAGAAGTAACCTCTGTTGTGCTCTGCTGCTGTTTGACTGAGACAGGTCATCAGCTTGTTGGCAAGAAAGACAGGAAATAAGGAGTAAAGAAGGTGCCTTATTGGGTACATCTTGCTGCTCTGTTGATTTTCACATACAGATTAAGGAAATGCCTGACACTTGTTCTAGTAGATACTCACTCTTGGAAGCACCGAGCTGCAGTAAGGACCCACTGTGGATGTATCAGAGTGCCAGCACAATGGTGCACACTGGTACTAGAACAGAGAAGATAATTACACTCATTTAAGACTGCATAGTCAATTCTCCACCACCAATGCTGTGCACAATGGGAAATGAGCAAACTAGAAATGTACCTCTTATTCAAACATTTTTGCAGTCATAGTTTGTCTTTTGCCAATGGCAAGAGAAATAAAATGCAGATTTTCAAAGGACAAGCTCCAGAACATAAGAGACTTGAAAAGAAATTTGACACCCAGGTGTAATTTTTGCAACAGGGCACACTTGCTTTCAGGAATTTAATAAAAACAATTCTATTTCATAACAATTTCACTTGTGTTGTAATTGGTTTGTCCTGATTAACAATTAATAAAAGGATACATCCTTCTGATTTGTGGTGTTGCTTTGGACTAGTTCTTTAAATAAACATTACTATTACTTTTTTTGGGATAATATTTATTACGATGACTGTCAACAACCCTATAGAAATTTTCATTAGCCTTTCTGTAAGCACTTCTTCACATTCTATTCAGCCACTCTCATTGTGACTTTGAAAATACTATGCATTATCATTTTTTATACTGAGACATTATGGTCTTCCTTACAGTTTTAACACAATTAGGGTGGTCACAGAATCAATTTACATTAGAACCAGATCAGATGCTGAGTGAAAAGGGATGATCAAAATCCATCCATACACATTGCAAGTTGATGGCTATATTCCTGGGCTTAAATCCCCCACTGCAGAATGGAATTAATGGTCATTATCTTCAGTAGGAATTATTCCTTCCCCAGTTCAGTAAATAAAGGTGTACTTCATGTCTGCAGTTCAAGTTTGCCCTCTAGAGATTCAGGACAAAGTGGGGAGTTTGGGATTAATGACACAATAGGTACCTATCTGTGGACTTTATGATTAAAAAAAACAGGTTTATTTTACATGCTAAGGTATTTTATACAGAAACCAAGGCCAGTATCCAGAAGCATATGCATTGTTTCCTGTCAGGCTCTTTCTGATGCCTGTTCCTTGTGAAACCCTGGTGCTCTCAGATGGAGTTACAGTCCAGAATACCAGTACCTTGTCCTGAGGCTGATGTGCCAAGGCCAAGACCCTGGAGATGCATCACACATGCTATATTGCTCACAGGCTCTCTCACTCATCACTGGGAACTTTCCACAGTCATGCTCAGAAGAAGCTACAGAATAAAAAAAGCTACAATGGAGAATTTTAAAGCCATTCTGTAATACCACCCACAGTGCATTCAGATGAAAAGAGAAAGGTGTAAGACATTTTTTTAATCTTCCTTAGGCTTTCACTCTTTATGTTGGTTAATAGAAATTAAGGGTAAAGAGACAAACAGAACCTTTAGACTCCTGATATTATCGTTACCTTGAGCATTTAACCCTGGGGTTAATATATCCTATTTGACATGACAAAATATTAATTTACTTGGAAAAAAATTCATAACTATGCCAAGTATTTGGATGTACTCAGATAACATAAGTAAAACTACAATGAGCCCCACCCTCAAAAGAAAATGTGTAGGGAAGTTGAAGGGAAACGAGGGCTAAAGAAAATGGAAGAGTTCATTGGCCAGACAATAATAAAAACTTCTAAATTCTTTAAAACATTTGTCTACACCTTGGTTGAATTAAAACCAATCCCTAGATTATAAATAAAATTGAGTCACTGCCCTCTTTTCATAACATATTCAAATTTTGCCCTCACACTGCTCACTCTACTGTCCTGTTAATCAAAATCTCTCTAAACTTTTTAAAATAGATTGAGCTTGGGTGCTCAGTAAGGACCCAAGTAACTCTTTCTAGAGATGCATATGGTGCTACGGATGTTAAATTTTTTAGTTCCAGTATGAGAAAATAAGTAATCAAAGGCAAGAGACTGTAAGGTTCCCCTACACTCTAATTAAAAATTCCAAGGCTGTTTTGAAAAGAAATCAGATCTCAAAGTGAACATCCACTACAGCAGTTTCAGGGACCAGGTTGTTACAACTGTGGTATGTGTTGTTTTCATACCATTCCTTATTCTTTTTGCCTGCACAGCTCTCAGCTCTGGTTGACAAAATTAACGTGTGCAATTACAATGCATTGCTGCTTAGAAGAACACATTAGATGGCCAGCACAAAGAATACCACATCCTCCTGAGGGAGTGACCACTCTTCACTACTTTGTAGTACTGCATTGTCCAGCAGAGCATGGACCTGGCCTCTAGTAAAAATAATACATGAGATCAAGAAGAAATAGACCTTCCATATTCCTGCCAGATAAAATGTAGGCAAGGAAGGCAAATGAGATGACTGTCAGGTGTGCCAAGCAGCACTCCCAGGACATTACAGCTGTTATTGATGCCCACTGCCAGGGCATCAGAGAAAGTAAAATCTCTTTCGCTGCTGAATTTTTCAGCTAACATTACATCTACTCAGCACACTGATTACTATCTCAAAATTAAAAAAAAAATAATTAGGGAAATCCGCGTAAAATATCCAGGACCAGATTCACTCTCTACCCCAAAAGAAAGGCAAAATATCTAGGGACAGATTATTTTAACATCCAGATCAGAATAAAAATTAAGTCAGAATAGGTTGTGAAGGGTTTGAAAGGATGTCTTCTCTGGTGCTACCAACTAACAGGAAAAGTGCCACAAAGTACATGGAAAGACTAGCATGAACATCAAGGATATCCTTTCCCGTGTTTGAGGAGCTCAGAGAAGGAATACCTCTCTTTACAGCTTCACTGGATATTTCGGGCTTAGCTTCACTGATGTTAAAGAGCACACAGATTCTGAGTGATGATTCTTGGCACCAGGTTACCTAAGCTTCGTCTGACTGTTACAGTTGCCTGATTATGTCAGACTACGCAGACCTAAATACAAATCTTAAGCTACTGCCTACTGCATTTTTTTATGGTTGGATTGAAAACATTTAGCAACTATCATAACAAGTTATAGAAAGGCAGGACAGAAAATTCTTTAAGAATAATTACAGCAGCGTGGGATTTCACAGTACTCCCATTTTTTTTCTGGGTCTGTTGTGAAGCACCAAACACCATTTACATCTCCATCAGGATTCCTGCAATACTGTAACAATTACAAAAACAGAGAATGAAGACTACAAATGTTAGCCACAGTATGAAGAAGTGCATGTTTTTAAAAGAGAGATAAACTAAAATTTTGAATTATTTCCCCCAACTACTTTTTGACTGGATGTTAAATGCTTTCTATTTCTTCTGATCACAATTTTTTTTGTTTCCTGTATCACAAAACCATTAGGTAAAATTAGAAAAATATTCTAAAATTGCTGATTTTCTTCATCCATCAGGAGGAACCCTAGTTCTATTGCTTTTTAAGGTCTCATGAGTAGTAAAGTTTGACACAGGATGACTAAGTGCTTTGCACTAAAACATTTATTGTTGGCCTAATCCTTCCTCCCCTAAAGCCAGTGAGGGTAAGTTAGGTCAGCTCCAAAAATTTGCCAGAAACCTGCTTAGTTTGTGACAAACAGCAAAAGGCATTGCTTTGGGGTGTGTAGAAATCTCGGAAGTCCAGTATGATTTCTTTTCCACTGCTTGCTTGTCAGCATCAACCCTATGGTGTACCTCTGTGCTTGAAGTACCAATACCCTGGGTAATGTGAAATTCATCCTTCCTTCTTCATTATTATAGGTCTGAGTTATCACTGTGATGACTTCCAGATATGCTTAACCTGGTCTATAAAGACTGAACATGAAGTGTTTACTGAGAGGTCATGGAGAAAGGAGACAATGTTCGATGACACCAATGGCGTTAGCGGCTGTTTACATTTTTATCCAGGCCTGCTGTTGGGTGAGTCACAGGAGTGAAATATTTGTGGCTATGAGGTTTCTGAGAACTCCACTCTTGACAAGTCCTGCCCCTTGCAGTTTTTGCTACTGTGCCACGATAATCTTTACCATTACCATTAATGCACTCTGTGAAAAAAGAGGAAAAGGAAATTATTTTTAGCTGCTGAATCTGTGTGTGGTAGTGGTAAGCAGAAACAAGGCAGATTAAATACCTTTAGGGCTTGCACACTCTCTAGCATATGTAGCAGAAAGAAAAAAAAATGTACTCTGTGATGTGATCTCTTAGTTTGTCAAGATGGATGTCTTCCTAGATGTGCAGAGTAACAGATTTGGAAAAAAATTCAAGGAACTTCAGGCTAAACATTCTCTGTACAATATTGCAAATATCTGAAAAGACTCAAAGATTTTTGCCAAGTTGGTATCAGTAAACACCTTCCATGAGAGAAGTGTATTTCAGAGTTAGCAGCCCATTACACCAGGAGAGTAATCTCCAAGGAGACTGCTTCAGGTACTTTCTTCTGCTGTCCATGAGTAAGAGTACATAGCTCCATTTAGAAACATATCTTTCATCCAACCTTGCCACCTTCCTTTGTAAAATCACTAATCTATGGAAAGCTCTACTATACATTCAGAAAATTCACACCACTTTGACTAACATGGATTATTAATTAAGGAAGCAATGAAACAGGATAGAGCAAAAACTTGTTAGTCTTAGTGTATACATTTTGCAAAATATGGTTGTCTATGAACAATACAACAAACTAAAGTTAACCTCCTGAACACATAAAGCACAGCACCAGTAAAATTTCTGTAACAACAACATTCACTGTGATTGTATTTCAATATCGCACATTTACAGAAACACTGGAAATCTTGTCTATTTTCCTCTTGTTCACCTAAATGAAAAAGATATCCTACAGAATGCTCTGTAAAATGCAGGCTACAGAATATAAAATGGCTAAAGAGTACTTGCTGCAAAATTCAACAGTACAGATCTGAAAGCTGGAGGAGGGATGTGACTGTTACGCACTACTCAAAAATAATTTTGATAGATTTCTATTCTGTTTATCCACAGACTCTACAGGAGGTGACATTTATAGCCAGCTGTTACCAGATGTGGTGGAGGTTGTCGGGCCAACATTTTGTGCCATCGTTGCAGGGGAGTCATTCGATGCGGGCTCTGGTGTGTGATCATCACACCTTTTGAGATTGCAGTACTCCCATGTCATGCTGGGGTCAGTGGTGAAACACCATGGGCTGTTATCACCATCTGGGTTTCTACAATAGTTGTCCCTCAGATCCCTGCAAAAATAAGTACAATAGTCATGTTGCATAAGACTGAAAGTAATCATAGGAATATCTTGCCAAAAATATGTGGATCTGTACTATGAAGAGATAAATACATCTATTAATTTTTTACTTCTTGCCAGATATCCTATTGCCAGCAATCACATTTATGGCTATGATACAAGTGGAGAGTTATATTTCACATGTACATCAGTGTCATAAATATATTTATGCATAAGGAAACATAATTTGTCTACTGGCTTAAATTCTGACTGTAATATGTCAATGTGCTGAGTAGCTAAATAAATGGCTGATATGCCAATATTTCATTTCTACGTACATATGTATAATCATACAAAACTGTGTGAATTAGTTACAAATATGCAGGAAGATCCGTAATATTGGTAGGGAATTAAACTTTGCCACAGTTTTTATTTTTAAATGTCAAAGTGTTCTTTCTCATATTCAGAAGAAAGGCAAATAATTACTTATACTAATCATCCCCCCCATCCTCCCCCAAAAAACACTTCTACTGAATTCAGTGGTAGCACTCCTATGCCTATGATTGCTGGGGCAGGGCGAAGTAGAGTTGTTCTCTTCAATAATGTGCCCAGTTGCAGTATTTCCCCATCCTGAATTGTAGCACAGTCACAGAATTTAAAAAGCCTTTTTTTTTTCCTATTTAAACATGCCAGAACATACTAATTCTGCATTTTCACAGCTTGATTTAAATTTTTTTACATTTGTAAAAACCAGCATCCCCTCCGAGTATGTTCCAGTTTCGATACATCAGTATTTCTGATGCCAAAATATGTTTGAAAATAAAAAAAAATATAATTAGGGTGACATCACAAGAAAGCCAAAAAAATGGAAAAGTATCAACCATCCAGCTTATACTTGTAATCCACCAAGCAAGGATGACTTTTGTAGCAATTGTCATATTATTTCTTTCCTACATTTATTAACAACCAGCATATTAGTAATTATGATTAACTCTACAAGTCATCACTGGTCCAGTATCGTTAGTCTGAAGAAAACAAATCAAGAAGGAAAATTCAGTGTATGCAATTCCAGGTGCCCAATTCCAACTATAAAGAACATTTAAATTTCTAATAATGCCTCAGATGAAATGAGTAGAAAGGCCACCACAAAGGTCTCAAATTCATAACCAAAATGCATATTTCAGCAGAAGCCCAGACTCTGGATACAAGTCTCCCAGTGTTGGTTAGAGAAGCTCAGATCAAAGAGTAAAGGGACACAGTGTATTTTACTCAGAACTTAAATAACAAGAAAACACAGTTTTTTTAAAAATGAGACTAACAGAAAAATTTTCCATGTCTTGGAAAAACTCTCATTTACAGATACATCTGCTAAAGCATAGATGTGCAAAGATAATACAATCAGCAATGGTCACTGTCAGATAAAGCAAGAAAAGTTGAAATAAACGTACGCGTTCGGGAATTTGTCTGGGGTTTTTTCATGCCTGTGTGGGAACATGGAGTTCCAGGCCTGGCATTTCTTCCCCGATGCAGTGACGGAAGTTGTGCCCCGATAGCTCTGCCCTGTGCCTCGATAGCACTCCTCTGGCAGGGGAACCTGCGCAGGCACATCTGCAGCCAACAACAGAAACCAGTCTTCTGCATCACAGTTTTATGATCTTACTGAGTAGGCACAAGAAAGCATCAAACACACAGGATGACAAAAACTAATTACTCATTTATACAGACAGCGTCCAATGAGAGCATCATGGCCAGAGTGAAAAGTGGAAAGCGCATTTCCAAAGATACTTAGAAAACTTTCACACATTAGACTCACACATCAGATGCTGTTCAGTGGAAGGTTCACCCCTCAGTTTCATTTTGGTATATGTGAACATATTTGAATTGAAGATCAGAAAGTTTACATTAAAAATCAAAGATTATATGTTAGTGATTTTTCCTTGATATATTTCTAAAATGCACATTATATTAAACTTTAATCTCTCTAATTATCCCTTTGATTGCACTAAGACTTTCTTGTTTGGTTTTTTTTTGCTTAAATGGATGGATGTTTCAGATGAGGTTTTTATTACTTTGAAAGCCCCTGCCCTCTCTTCTGTAGCTGCTTTCAAAAAATGGGACTTCCTTTTATTTAATACTTTTTCACCTCTTTAAACCCATTTTTCTTTTTCTTTTTTTTTTTTTTCCAATTAACTTGCTAAAAATGCCCTGCATTTGGGGAAAAAAGGAATATAAAAAATAAACCTCTTTCATCCTGTAATTCTTCTGTTGGGTCAACTGATGGTTTACATCCTTAACTGCACTTCCTTAACCATTGTGAGTCAAATATTTGCCAAGCAAAAAAAACCTGCATTAACAAGTGACAGTGACTGAAAAAAGATTTAACACATTTACAATGAGAAGCAATGAGTCTCTCACTGTTTTAGTCCTTATTTCAAGTATGCTCTGCTACTCATACCAGCAGTCTCTTGTTCTGTCCCATCACAGTGGGGGATTGCACAGTATTCCCACCGAACACTGTTGCTGATGGTGTAGCACCAAGGCCTCTTCTCTCCATCTGGGTTTCTGCAGTAGTTTTCCTCTAAGCTCCTGAAACAGAAACAATTGCTTTAAACTACTCATAGAAATCCAGAAGAGTTGTGTGCAATATTATTAACAATTACTGCATGCAGAACTCAACTTAGCGGTAACATCTATTCTTTTTGGAGATTGATTACCTCATGCATCACTATTTTGTGCCAAATCAACAGCCTTCGAATATACATTCTAAAAGCTGATGATATATGAAGAACTTTTGCAATGTAAACAACACTTTCTGCTCTTGTTTTTGAGGCCAATAAAAGCTGACTTTGAAATGCAAGCCATTGGTGTACCTGACCCTTATGATAAGAACCAGGCAAAGCTGTATGTCATACACTGATCCTGGAAGTCTGTGCATACGAGCACCAGTGCACATTGCTCTCTGCCCTGTGGTGATGGACAGGGTTTCACACATCCAGAAAAACTTACAGGATCTATTGCACAACCCACAGGAACGAAATACAGAGCTAAAAGCCTAGTCAGTCCCAGTTATCCTTGTCCATTGATAATGCTCCACAAACCCAGCTCCTGTGACCTTGGAGCATGAGGATGTAATGGAGCATCGTAGACTCTGGAGAATTGCTCTTCAAAAGAGTAACATGTTGAAAGTGTGCCAAAACACAGCCAAGGGATTTTTAACATAAAAGTAGTAAATACTTATAACTCTGCAGTGGGATGTCAAGGAACCAGGTGAGACAAGTACCTGAGAGTGAAGTAGCTGGTAAAAAAAGGAATGCTGAAAAAAATTAAGACCAAGGCCTGAACAGAAGTAATGAGGGCTGACAAAAGGCAAGAAAACAGCTTATCAACATAGCTGCAGAAAACCTGTGCTACTCTTGCCTCTGCATCTGGTGCTATAAGGAATAATGATGTTCTTTAGCACTTGTTAAAATGCTCAGCATACTTGCAGGGATATCTTTTAGGAATCCAGCCATGTCTGTGAGGAAACTGTGTGTTCCAGTGTTGGCAGGCATTTCCTGATTCAGTGATGGCTATCCTGCCTCGATAGTCTTCTCCCTTCCCCGAAAGACACTGGGAGCCCAGACCAGAGACTGGTTGGGGCGTTGCTGTAACAGGATTTGAAAAAAAGAAGAAAGGAAAATAAAAGAAATGCAGCTAGCCAGTGCTTTCAATTATATTGAACCCCCTCTTTGTTTTCTGTAATGTTGAACACACTTTTTTAAATTTCTTTCAGCATAGGTGACACAGGTTGAAAGCCATGGAAAACCAAAGTGTACATTTTCAAGCAGTTGGGCTGCCAGACAGTTGTCCTGTGTCTGCTCTTTTATGGCAGTCAGTAAATAACTTTGCTGAGTCAAGCCAGATTTTGTGCCTGCAGTTCCCTGAGAGCAGAGTTGGAAAGGCAGTAAGTAGTCCTGTACAGTCTGGTAAAAACAAGTGGGATGAAGGGAGCACATTAATACAATACACAGGGGTAGGGTGGAAGGGCAGAAAGGATAAGGGCAAAGAAGAAATTGTGAGAGAAAGCACAAGCATTCAGAGCTGAGCCTTTGGAGTCAGTGAATTGAGAAAGTGGGGCAGATGGAGGAGAGTAAGAAAGTGAATTGGTCTGGCATGTGGGGAACAACAAAGAAAGTAAGAGCAACAGAACCTGCAGAGAGCAGTAAATGAACCTACGGTACATACCTACTATATATACTTTCTATATGGAATTTCCCAAGGAGAGAAGTATGACTCTAAAAGGTTGGTCTGTTCCTTAAACTTTCTTTGAGTTTTAAACACAAAATAGAGATGCTATGGTAACTTTCACAATTTACTTTATCGTACAGAATTCTATAAATAGTCATTCTTCCATCTGTAACTGAGCATGGTGAGGTGAACTACATCTAACAAATACATGCTGGCAAGATGTATAAGAAAGCAAGCTCTAGAGAGAAAAACATTTTTTTTTCTCAAAGTGCAGTCGAGTTCTATAAATGGCAGTGCTTTGGAAATGTCTAGTGTGTTCAGCTTAATGGGTTAACCTAGCTCACTGATAACTCAAGTTTTCTCCTGCAGCTTGAATTTGTTTCTCGGGATTCATCCCTTGCTCAAAAAAGGGCAGTGCTGGTCAAACTCACGTAAAATGTCACAGTATGGTGGCTTAGGTGCTTTCCATGAGTTAGCAGAGCAGCTGAAAACTACCAGCTGAGATTTAGGCTGAACTCACTGTCTCTCAGGTACATTGAAAAGCAAGGTGATTGAAGATATATTAGGGTTTCCATAACATCTCTGGCATTGTTGCACTTCGACACCTGCATCCTCACTGACCTCATGTCATTTTATGTAACAGAAACTTAGTGAGTGATTCTGCTCATTAATGTGCACTTTTCCTGGTTCATAAGGATTTTTGTAGGTTAGTCAGAACTGCGATTTCTTGTCTTTCCTCTCCCTGCATAATCTTAATGAGAAGAGCTACCCTGTGGAATGATCTCAAGAAATCAGACTCACTGCAACGAGGAATGTTGCAATATTCCCAGCGTTTAGTGGGGTTAGAAGTAAAACACCACGGCTGAAGTTCACCATCAGGATTACGGCAGTAATTCATCTTCAGATCCTTCCCCGGAAAGCTGAACATTGAAAATTAAAGAGAAGCTTGTGAGTTAGCTGTGGCTGGCTGTAGCAACTAGGCTGTCTGCAGGCAGGGTCTCCCAGACACTGCAGGAATTAATTCAGTGCCGAGTGTGACTCACTGTTTCAGGGTAAATCCATGCCTATGTGGCTCTTGGGCATCCCAGTGCTGGCACTCAAGCCCAGACACTGTCCTGGAAACTTCTCCATGGTAGTCTTCACCATTACAGTGCATGCACTCCACTGCAGAGCCTAAGCAGAACGAAAACAAAGCAAGTTTCACACCAGTCAATGAATTCTAATCCTGATCTCTTCATGAAAGGCTACAATGAAAGGAAAATAGAAAGAAGAGATATTTGTTGCTCTTTTAGAGGGTTTTGCTCCAGCTAATGATGAAAGGAATCCAAAAGACCATGCATTATAGCCTAGCCAAATGAATCAAACCTTATGGATACATCTCATTTGGAGGGAGAACTTTGTCACATATCTGTATGTACTGATAGCAATGGGAGTTTTGTATGTAACACAGCAGTTAGGTCAATCTTTACTCTTGTTACATAAACTGCTATGGATAAGAGCAGGAAAATATCACCAAGTTATTAAAAAAATTCATGTCCTCCATATTTACAAATTTTGTTTGATAATCTGAGCCAATTAGGAAAACAACCTTTGTGTTGAGGACTTCTTAAGTTCCAGTTTAATCTAAATTCACATTTAAAACCAATCTGCAATAATAAAGCAAGAACAAATAGCAGAAATAGAATTACCTATTCAAACATTGCTTCTCTGAAAAATATATATACCTTCCTTCCCTGAAAAACAAATATACCTTCTCCCATGTACAACACCTGGTCCTCACACTCTGGGATGTTACAGTAATCAAATCTGGTAGCAGGATCTGTTGTGTAACACCAGGGTCCACTTTCATCCCCATCAGGATTTCTGCAGAAGTTTTCATCCAGTCCTGCATTGGGGTGTTTTTCAGGTGTATAACTGTAATAATATTAAAATTCTATTTTAATTTCAGTAACTTGTTGGAACAGAAGAGAAACTTCTAACTTGCTCAGCTAGCCGTGAGCTCTATTCGTTCACAGTAAAATTGCAAGGAACACGTTCCCCATTGTAACCCATAAATTAAATCTGAAAAGCGTTCTGTAACTACCATTATTAGTAGCTTCTGCTACGTCCCAGTTGTCAATGATGAGGGTGTTTACAGCCTGTGAGGATTATGACAGTCTCAAAGGACAATTATTGCCTTTAATGCTGGCATCAGGCTGATCCAGTCAGCTCACTGTGGCCTGTGGCTTTGTGATGTATTTTTCTTAATGCAGCTACTTTAAGAGTGGAGTATTTCTGGAGGCTATTGACCAAACACAACTGGATCCTAATTTGAAGAGACTATGAGGCAAGTGACCCTAGGCTTCTTCCTATAGCAATGCTCCCAGAGAAGACTAAATATTTTTTAAACAAATAAACAAAAAAAAATCTGAACAAGGACATCCAAGTTTCATTAGAATAACATAAAAATAACTTTTTAAACAGATTAAACTTCAACATAGATCAAAGAATACAAGCCCTCTGCTTCCACACTTTTGCTTCTGGGAGCCCAGTGGCAGCCAGCCCTCAGAAAACTCTGCCTGGGTGGTCCCATGGGCACTTAGATGCTTTGCTGGATGTTTCTTCTTGTCTGTCTCTGGAAGGTAGGCAGGAGGTCATAGAGCTGGACAGATACCACTGTTTCTTTTGGGTTTTTTTTCACACCTCATACAGAAGAGAGAAATTATGGTCCTAGTGTCACTGACAAATTTTCATCATGTCTTGACAGAAGGAGCATTGCATCTTCTTAAGAGGTCCAGCAGTCAGACACAGCTTCTCTAGCTGTGAGAAGTTGTCCTTTCTTTACTCAGACCATTGCAGTTCTCTGCCAGTAGAGTTAAAAGTAACAAGACAGATGAAGAGAATGTTGTCTCAAAAAGTCACCTGACAACTGGCTTTGATAACATGCACTATAAAGTTGTTTATACACATGAAATTAGAAAAGCTTGGAAAAGATTCAGTACAATGTGAAGAGAAATATAAATAAGGCCATACTTTGGTTTATGGGGTGATTTTTCTGCCCACTTCTGGCATGGAATACCCCTTCGAGTTTTTGCTTCCATTCCTCTGTAGTCCTTCCCAATCCCTCTTTTACATTGTAGAAGGTAAACTGAAAAAAAATTGACTTTGTTAATTCAATGGTGTTACAGCATTGCATCTCTTGAAAATAAGAATCTGCAGATATAATCAGTTCATGATGAACCATGTTTCACCCATGTTTTGGACCTCTTGTTCACGCAGAGAGATGTGATTCCATATTTTAAAACAAATTAGTTAGCAACTATTAAACAACTACAGAGGAAAATTCCTGAAGCATTTGTATAAAGCTAATAAAATCAAGTAAAGAAAACAGACACAACTTACAATTGTTTTTCAAATGTATAAAAAGCGTGCTTATACCATCACACCACCAGAATAAAAAGGAAGGTCTTTCACCAACAGCTGCAGATTCTTTGAAATGTAGTGTTCATAAGCACATTCACAGCACGAGCATCAGGCAACCATCCTTTCAAGTCACAAAATTTTTAGTTATCAATATACAGCCCCCAAACTTTTTACTCCTCTTAGCCTCAGAACTCCAGGTACTTTCTAGCGAGATTCCAAGGCAGAGAGAATGCAAAGCATGTTGATCTCTCCTTTTCCTGAGAGACCAAGGCTCCTGGGTATAAAATCAAGTCTTCTGCTGCTGACATGAGGATCAGTTGTGTCTCTTTGGCTGTTTCAGAAGTTTGGAAGAGCTTGGGCAATGTCAAGCAATGTAAAGGGGCCCTGATGAAGTTAGGAATATTGTCTTTATTTGTACCAATTTGAGCCTTAGTTATTTTCTAGCCCTCTGTGAAAGCATATAATTAGGGTCAATGAGAATAATTTATTCACTTAGAAGGGCTAATTTCAATTTAATAATTAATGACTTGTGCATGTGTCTATTCGCTTTCAACATATGCAGAAGAATTTACAGAGCACATACTTTATTCCGTTCTAACCTCAAAGGAAAACTCCAATTAATTTTTAACTCAGTAAAATAAAAATCACATTTAAAATGTTGAGCCATTGGTGACACCCATTATTTCTACAGATAATTCACTTCTGCCAGAAATTATTTGGCCGAACCTGCTCCGATATTCTTCTCTACTGGTGACTCACACATCGGTGGTCTATGAGGAACATGCGAAACGTAAAAGTGGAGAAGAGGTCTCCATAGGCTTTAGTCTTGTGAGGTCTGTTACTGGGGCAAGGTGGGGACATGACTGTAGAGCTAAATTCTTTCAAGAAAAACAGTGGTAACAGTGTTTTTTCCTTTTAAATCAGGAAGGAATTTGACCATAGTAAAATGCAAGAATCAAGCATTACTCTTCAAATTCTAGCTTTTAAGGCAACAGTAATTCATCTGAGCTAAACATACCCTGCAAGTTCAGGAGAACTGATGAGAAAATCCACTTGTCATCAGGATAGAAAGAAGTCACCAAGGAACACATATTGCACCATGAGAACAAAATGTCAGTGGCTGATAATCAGGTAGAGGTTAAGTTAGTACTTACTGAAGATAGCTGTTACAAATTGAGTTGCGCCCGGTGCCATGAACCTGCCAACCCATTATCCAGTCTAGTAGCAGAAGGATTAGGATACAGCTGTTTAAATGTTAACATTCCAGCTTTTTCTTATGTTTGGTCCAGATCTTCAGTTTATACCAGCTGGGAATTTGGACATGAACTGCTTTCTCTTTAAAGCTTTGATATGGCAAAGGGGATCCGCACTATGTTTATTCATTCAGTTTTGATTTTCTATATATCTTTCAAATGCTTCAGAATTGTAAAGACACTGAAAATACTTGTCTTTTCAAACAAACAAATGTTTTTAAAAGAAAAGCTCACTGTTCACCTTACATACCAGTTAGTAATAGAAGCTTTCTTTTTCCCAGAAGACTCATTGAAGTTACATGTTATGTATGTTTCCACAAAACTTACGAAGATAGTCTGGTTAAAAAAAATTTTCTTTTTCTAGCTATATAACATCTATTAAAAACTTAGAAAAAAATTAATTAGTTAATTCCAAAAATAATCTTAAAACCAAGCCACTTATCTGAGCCTAGCATACAAGAAGAATTAAGCATAAACAAAACAGCTTACAAAATGTGAATATTTGACTACATTTAAAAAAATATACGTCAATACAATATTTCAGTCAAATAGTTCTTGACTGAATTGTTACTCAGAAAATTAGAGAAGTGAGTACATAGAAGTAGATAATTCTGTAGTCTTGAAAATTTGTATGATCAAGGAATCTATTAGCTCCATGAAGCAGAGGACTGCAAATACTTAAAGGGCAGAGAAATGCAGGATTTTTGCTTTGGATAATGTTTTTTCTGTCCCAATGATATGTGACTAAAGGAGTGAAATGTAAGTGCAAATATAAGGAACCTTGCTCCCCTATGTGGAATTCTCTGGCAGTTTCAGCCCAGTTCATAATGGGTGTAGACCCACCTCGCTGAAACTTGCCACTTGCAATGGTTTGCTTCAGTACTGCAGCAGAGAATGCAAGGATACAGTTAAAATAGGCTTACTGTGTAAAGGTGTGGCATCTTATTATATACATACTTTTCTTCTCATAAAGAACTGCATCCATGCTGTTGAACATCACTGCCATTTTGGTATTTTCAGCCAGCGTTAGACACTGTAGCTTTTTCCTGGTGAATAGGAAGGCCCTGTTGAAATTGAGAAGGACACAGGAAGCAATATTTTTAATTCAGTTCAAATTATTCAACATGTACTTACTTTTCTATAAATCTTAACATACTAGCACTTCCGTGTATCCACTTATACCTTTCAGATACTGCACTCGGTATCTGAGACACTGAGTAAGAGACTGATGTTTTCCATTGCTCTGAAGTGGCTGACTTTTTCAGGATATATGACTAGGTGTAAGTAGTAAGTAAATAACATATGTATGTTACTGTGTGGGAAGCTAGTTACTGCATTAGCAAAACACTTTCAACAGCATCCTAGCTGCTCAGGTGAGCGTCTAAAACATCTCACCCTTCTTTTGTGAAACAGGGCAGCATCCAGCTAAAGAATAGTAAGCAGCTCTCCACCTAACATTGCAGGAACTCGATCATTTACTATAGAATGAGTAATACATAGTAAATCCACTCTACTTGACCTTGTGGTAATTTACGGGTGCAGATAAGCCACAAGCTAAAGGCATAGGCATGGGCAACACTGCTGTAGGCAGGGCTGCAACACCAGGGGGATGTTGTTCAGAGAAACAGCAGGAAAATATCATTGATATGCAGACATCTACAATGACATAGTTTTAAGATTCAACACAAATTACCTGCAATTAAAATTTCTTTCTGCTTCACATTTCTCTGCACATTCTTTTTCGTTACTTGTCTTGTAAAACTGTTTACTTCGAGTAAGTATCCAAACACCATCTGTTCTTAAATAGTCATCCAGTATATCTCCTTTCACTACAAGGGAAGGAAAGGAATAAGATATTAAAAATTAGAATGCTGCAGTTAAGAAGATCTGTGACTTTGAGTCCCATTTTTCATGTAGCATTGTCAGGTGAAGGCACCATTTATTTTGTGTAATTCTGGGTAAAGCATGATAAACTCTGAGGAAATTTCTGTCTCCTGACACAATCACAGCTGTATGACTGGAATGCATTACAGGAAAAAAGAGCAGAAGAGAGATGTAGAGAAGCAACTCTGAACGGAGTTATGTATGGTCTGAAGCTGGGAAAAAGAAATGTGAAACAAGAGTGAGAGGGACCAGAGAGAGGGACTAAATGGTGTCAAACAAACACCAGTCAGAGAAAGATGAAGGGAAGTGACACTAATATTAAAGTTTTGGAGAAGTATGAATTGGGAGGACGTGAGATTATGACCTCCCATGTGGATGGTGCAATCATTACAGTTTTACTTGGCACTTAGTTGTTGTTTGTCCTAAGTTGTCTTGCCCTGGAGAAAGAAACCTGAAGCATAAGATGACTGCATAGTCTTTTACAATGACTTACCATTATTTCTGTTGCAATGGGTTGAGCATATTTACTAATGATTGTCAGGCTGCATTTCTGTTGTTGCCATGAATTAACCCAAGACTTTAGATTAGTAAGTCAATTAGTATTATTACATCTGAAAGCTACATGTTCATAAGATGTATATGCTAATACATTTAAGAGCTCCAAAATGTTGTTGCTCACAGTGGAGTTTACCATATATTTGTTTTTTCCTTTTATGTCTATAAAAATTCTATTAAAAATATTGGTTACTAATTTCTACAAAAGTTTACTTCCATATCCAGCATCAAGTCACAAAGTTACAGAAGTGACATGGTTTAACTACTTCACTTTTCAAGCTAGATTATAATTGACAGATGCAGGAAATTCATAATCTTGTGCAGCGTTCTCATTGGGTAACATTGCTTATCTTTCTTTTATGCAGACACCCATATTAGGCTGAATTCATTGCAACATTTCTGCATTGTAATTAACTCCCATGACATACAGGTCATCCATCACCTACTTCTGTATGACACACATTCATATAAAATAAAAGGTATTTGAGCCACTAATTAAAGTAAGATGATTAATTGCCTGAGGCCAATCTTCTGTGACTGTTTGCAGAGTTGGATCAAGGCTGTAAAATCCGCACGTCTTAAGAAATCCCCAACACTGAAGCCTTCCATATCTAATCTTACTGTTATGGTAGGACTATGGGGAGCACCAAAAGCCTGCCAATATCTCCTGATGGACTCAGCAAACAAGTTTTTCCTTTCCTGACCTTTTTCCTAAGATAACTGACCAGAATAGGAGAATATTACTTTCCAAACTTTATTGGCTTATCTTAAAACTATATGTTTGTCCAAAGAGCTCTACTTTGGATACCATTCCTTTTCAGTGACCATAAAAAAAGATTTATTTCATTTGGTTCAAGAAGGCACACATGAGATTTTGGATGACGTGCTAAAAGGCAGCACAGATTGACAGGAGCTTAGATAACAGAAAAGAAAATGTGATCTTAGTTGCCTGAAAAGCTTTGCAAAGTATAAACTTAAAAAACCAATAAAACAGATTTTAAAATGCAGCAGGGAATGTATTATTCTGGCTAAAGCCCAAGTTTGTATAAACCCAGACATGACACATGATAATTGAACAGAATATTCAAATACATGTGAGAAAATCAATTTCTTCTTTTACATATATATCTTTCCACACTTGACCTGTACTAATCCAGAAGACATAAAAAATAGCTTTAAGGTAGTTTTGTGGACCATCACTTTGGAGAAAGAGAGTTAGCGCTGAAAACAATGAGCAAATAAAAATAACTTAATCATCTGTCTTTTATAACCCAGCTCAATCATATAATGAGATGTCCTTGGTATCCTGTCCTGTTAAATGTCTGAGCTATTAGAAAATCATACAAACTGTACTGATATGTTTCTAACAGCACTTTTAAAAAGTCTTTTAAGGGCCATATAATGATATGCAATGTTAAAGTACTAAAGAATATGATACCTGATTGAAATCTGATTGAAATGTATACTACACGTGGAATATTTATTTATAAAATTTGTAGATGAATTTGAAATTCATATATTGCCTTTAGCTGAAAATCTACTTTCTTTTGTAGTTATAAAAAAGAATTTTAGATATATTCCTGGAAAAGTTTATCTACATTACTGAAGATTAGACTTCTATCTACTGCCCCCAGAAAAACAATGGAGAGCATTTTCTTGTGAGTGCTCGACAACAGAAAATGTGAAATTGCTGAAATATAAAGGTGGCTCTAAGAAACACAACATTGGGGCCACCACAGCTCTCACTTTGTTCAACAGCAACTCTCACTGGCCAGCAAGTCCCAAATCCATCATCGTCCAGGCAAGTGGCGACACAGGGATTTGGGGACTTACATTCACCAAATAGAGCTTGCAAGCATTTGGCACCCATCTCACCGAGGGAAGCAGAAGGCAAAGGACTCTTACCTGAGCTGAGCAAGAAAAGAAAGAGAAAGGCAGCTTTGCAAATCCACATTTTGGCCCAGCTGGCGAGTGCTGGAAGTTGTGTGTGTTGGTGCACAAAGTTTTATTGACTCGCACTGGAGTGAGGCGGCATCAAACAAACAAGGCAGGCAGGTTCAGTTAATGATTCTCCCATCCTGTGACCCCCTTTGCTGTGGTGTGGCCATTCAAACAACCTTGAATTGGATGGATTACCAAATCAGATCCAGTCATTTGTACTGGATGCTAGGAAATGTGACGGCATTCTCTTGTTTGGCAGAGCATGTTTCTGTTCTCAGATTGCTTTGCCTCACTTTGCTACAGTAAAGATGGGGCTCATGGTGGAGGGAAGTATGGGAACTGAGGCACAGTCTCATTCTACACAGTCCTGTACATTCAGCTTCAGGTATTTTCATTATTATTATTTAGGTCCCAACAGCATTTTCAGTCACAGACTTGCACTACTTAGGTTGGAACTGCTTCTGATTTATGCTTTTGTGCAAGCCATTCCTCAAAACCAGTCCCTAATAATGCTAACTGTGTATCAGAATTTCTTTCAACTACCACCAGTGTTCTTCCTAGGGAAAAGAAGCTTGTTTCCCATTTCTGGGTTGTTTTTTGCTGTTCATGACCTGGGAGGCAGTGTTCACTTTGGTTCAGTGTATAATGTGTCTTTGCCCTCCAGGCAAAGCTCCTGATATCTCAGATCTGCCCAGACCTCAAGGTGCATGCAGGGTGCCCCATGCATTTCATCAATACCAGCTCCATCACTGCCACGGAGCTCAACTAAGTCAAGACAGGCATTCCCAGCCAGAGTGTTTCAACTGGTTTGCTTGGTAAAGCTGGTATAGCCTTCATCTGGGGTTGGCAGGGCAGAGGGGAAAGATAGGAGCAAGGTGGGAATCTTACATCTTGCCCTCTGTGCTGGCAGAATGATGGTTCTGCCAAGGCCACATGCAGCAGCCATACCCCTGTGAGCATCGATAACTAGAAGAGTCACCTGAGGTAAAAGCAGTGGTCAAAAGGTACATGCCTCCAGAGCACAGGTGGGAAATGCACCCTGGGCTGGTGGGGAGGCAGTGGGGAAGTAGCCTTTCTGTCTCAGCTCTGAGGCACTGCAGAGGGTTTTCTGTAGAGAGCCAGTGTGGAACCTGCAATCAGGATGGGCAGAAGAAGTGATGACAGTAGCAAAACAAATGGTTGGTCTTGGTAAATGCTTTGTGGTCAGTTGTGTCCACGTACCACATGAAGATTTCCCATTTTGTTATAGGAGAGAGGTGGGGTCACCAAGAGATGCAGGAGGACATGATGAGCAGGGATATGAACGATGCAGAGCCAAGCCTCTCCTATTCTGCCACTGACAGCGTTACTTGCTCTGCCCTTAGACAGCAAATGCCATAGACTCTAGATGCAGAAGTCTGAAGCCACTCTAGAGCTGCTAGTAAATAGCATGGAAATTTTTTTTCTCTTGGATTTCATTTAAATCCTAGACCAGTCCAAAGCAGAGAGACTTTCATGTCCATTTTCTGTTAGAAACAATGGAAGCCACATCTTTGATCATGAAAACTATGCTGTAATCCCACCTGATTTTGCCTGGTATTTTCTTGAGCATGTGTTGTCCTGGTAATGTCCAGAAGGGTGCAGCAGATGATAGTTTTTGACAAAGTAGGTGACATTAAACCCTCACCATGAACAAAGGTGTCAGTAAACACCTATGATACATTGCAGGAGTTGTTCATCCATAAGCTTGAAAAAATACCGAGGGATTTATTATTTTGTTGCTCATATCACAGCTCATAAGAAAATTTGTCTTATGCAAATATGCTTTTCTTTTCTTTCTCAGTTCCCTCTTTTCCTTCCCACTACAATACAAGAGGCTTAAAGTTGAGTGGTTTGAACTTACATAGTATTAATAGGTTCAAAACCTTTATTTTGTCAAAGCAATATTCCATGTATAAAAGACATAATGCAAGCACGAAATATAGAGAAAAAAATAGAATGACAAAGAGCAAGGGAAAAAAGCCAGGTGTAACATTATCACTGTAAGGTACTGAAAAACATGATAAAGGTTATGATGCAGTGAAAAACAGAGTCACCTGTTTGAAACAAAATCCCCTCCCCTAGATTTTGTGATAGCATACCACAGATTTTCTGTATATTAGAAAAATGAGAAAGAGATGTAACAGCTCCCTTGAAAAGCAAAATAAATATGGGTAAAACGAATAAATGAGTTGCGAGTGTAAAATTAATGTTCTTAAATTAATTCAGAAAAACATAGATATAGAGCTGCACAGTAACGAAAACAAAAAATAATTTGCAGGTCAGGTGTCAAATCATAAAATACTTTCATTAGGCTTTCAGCTTGGAGAAAAAGAGATTTGTACATGCTTGCTCATTCTACATCTTCACTAGGGAACATCATGCAGCTCTGCCACACTGGCTTGGAGTGTGTATTTTCTTCAAGTGATGAACAAGGAGACTTGTCATTTAATCAAGAAGATAATTCCAGCCACTGATTCAGTAAATTCTGTCAGTGGAATAGAAATATTTCTGCTGACTTCAGAGGGCTTTCAGACAGGCCTTGTATAGTTTTTAATTCTTAAAATCAAGAAAAATACTCTTGGGAGGAAAACAAGTCTAGGAATAGAAAAGAAAACTAAAGTATCTCCAGACAAGTGAGTGAGAAATCAAATATCCCTCATCAAGGCTAGTTCCTTCTGTGAGTAAATAGTAACAGGAAAAAACCTCTGAAACCCATCTCTCTATACTTTGCTGAATTGAATAATGGGAGTCACAAGCTCCATGAAATATAAATTATTTATCATTTCTTCATCAGATGCAAATACATTCTGAAGAACCAGTTTCTAAAGTACTTCATACTTTCTCTAATCTCTAAGTTTCTTTTCCCAGTAAAGACAAATTGGGAGGAGTAGCAAGTGAGAGATCAGCTACCAGAAGTAATAGAGTGGATACTGACAGGTGGGTACAGCTTTTGTACTGTTTGGCCAATTTGTTTATTTTTCGGTTTCATACTTTTCCATGTTTAGAATTCCCAGTTTCAAGCTGGTTTCCAAGGGCAATGACCACGGTGTCCTCTCACTCTAATGGTTTCCTGCTTTGTGGTACATTTTTTTCATTGACTTAGCTCCATTCACCAGCAACATGTGAAAGCTGTTTTTTCAGTACCTCTTTTTGGTGGGACTCCATTACTGATCATTTGCTTGTTCTCATGGATACTTACATTTTTTTCCAGAGGATGCCACTGATGATGGTGATGATTACTATTAATCTTAGAGCCTTCACCTGAAATCAGAGCCCAAGCACTATGTGCTTGAGATAGATACAAGACTTTCTCAACCCTGAAGAGATTACTCTGGTAGCAGGCAAGGGGAGAAGAAATAAAATTGAACAGCCAAGGCAATGGCATGGTCAGAAATCCACACTGCCCTTGCCCACCTTTGAAATTGATGCTCATGCGCTCTTGGCTTCAGCAGCCTATCACTTGTGTTTCCAACTAGCAGAGGGAGTGACTGCGAGAAAGGAGATGAGAAGAAGGCAAGAAGGTAATGCCTTCTCCACCCAGAGCAAGGGGTCTTCTTCATGTGTACCAGGAGATTAGGACTGTTTCTGAGGCACCTGCATGTTAATGCCTGTCCCATCAACAGTGTCATCTGGACAAAACACTACAGCACGTTTCCTATTTATAAAACAGAGGCAGGAAATACTTCACTGCCTGTCTGCTGTGAGGTTGGTAAATTCAGGCTTATTTTGGAGTCAACAGGAAATGATGGCTTAAGTGCTAAGCATAATCTTTTTACCAGGCTGTGAGGCAGGTATAGTTCAAAATACTGACGTATTGTAATCTTATAAATAATACTGACTTGAGGCTTCATCCATATACCTGAAAAATCAAATGAGCCTGTCTTATCCAGAAACATCTTACTCCTCCCAAGTTAAAGAACTGCAAATCAGACACAACTTGCTGGGAAGCTGTGTGGGTTGGGTCAGAGGAAAGGAGACAGAACGAATGGGTTGTTTTGGCTAGAGATTGTGTTACTAGAGGAATACATAAGAAGAATATTCAAATACAGACATATAAATATATGTCTATTATAAGATATGTATGTATGCATGTATGCGTGTGCATATATACAGTGATTACTGCAAAGAGTAGACAGTCTATTCACCATAAATGTGGAGGATAAGGCAAGCAGTATGGATTTAAATATACAAAAGTGATTTAAAATCAAGACTAGAAAAGAAAAAAATCTTTCACACGAAGGAGAGTAATGCACTGGAATTTTGCCTGAGAAGGCTGTGGAATGTTCATAGCTGGAAGTTTGAGGAACAGGTCTGATAAATGTCTGACACGCATTTTGGGTCTGTATGTATTACTATGCCATGATGGTTGAACTAGGAAACCCTTTTTGCCATAATTTTCTTCTAATTCTGTGAATTAGATTTGTGACACCTAAACAATTAAACAGCTGTACTGCAACTCTCCACAAGCCATTGGCAGTAATCATCCTCTTTTTTCTGCTTGATGGCTTTTCCATCTTCTGCCTTGCTTCTCCACTGATCTCCTTTCACAGCTTGTAGACATAAAAAGAGGAAATGTTGCATGCCCAGGACTCCAAACCTTTACGTACTCAGCTTCTCGCAGCCACTGTCCCCATTAACCACCTTGACTATAACTAAATGCTCTGCTCGGTTGGCAGGCTGCAGTTCAGTCCTGTAAGTCACCTCTTAGAGCATTTTGGTTTCCTCTGGGAAGAGTACAGCATACTGAATCCTTGCCCGAGGACGACTGACTGAGCAGAATAACTGTCTTCAGAGAAAGAAGAAAAATCGCTTCTTCTCCAAACTGCCCTGGGAACACTCAGAGATCTCCTTTCTCAGAACGCCTCCAGTATGAGCCTACAAGCAACATAATTTCATCCAGGCGACAACTCCCCCTGCCCGAGGGCACACTGAGCACAGTGAGAGATTTGTCCCTGCTTTCACAACATAATTGCAGCTTCTGGAATTGCCTCA